TATAGCTACTAGTTATTATAGTTATTTAAAGATGGGCATTCCAAAGTAAAAGTCATGCGGGATTTAAATCAGGTTTATGCAAGTTTAGGCAGCAATGGTGGTTTGGTAGCAGAATTTTTACCTCCCATGCAGGAGACAAGGAGCCCTGGTGGCACAATGGTTAAGTGCGGGGCTGCTAACTAAAACGTTGGTGGTTCAAACCCACCAGCCGCTGCATGGAAGAAAAGACCTGGCAATCTGTTCCTGTAAAGATTACAGCCTAGGAGACCCTATGGGACAGTTCTACTCTGTCCTATAGGGTTGCTATGAGTCAGAATTGACTCACCAGCACCCAACAACAACAATATACAGGAGATCCAGGTTTGATTCCCGGACAATGCATGTCATGCACAGCCACCAGCTGTCTGTGAGTTGGGGCTTGTGTGTTGCTATGCTGCTAAACAGGTTTCTGCGGAGCTTCCAGCCTAACAGGGACAAGGAAGAAGGGCCTGGAGATCTACTTCTGAAAATCAGCCCATGAAAAAACCCTGCGTATCACAACAGTCCAATCCACAGCTGATCATGGGGATAGCACAGGACTAGGCAGCATTTTGTTGTGTTGTGCATGGGGTCACCACAAGACAGGGCTGACTCCACAGCAGATAACAGCAGCAGCAACAACAAGAAGGCATAGATAAGGCAGAGACTGTCCAGAGAGAAGAGGAAGGACTATGTGCATATCTGGCCAGTGGGTCTCCTGGAAACAACGGCCTCAGGTCTCCTGATGCAATGGAGGGAGAAGAGGGCCAGCAAGCCAGACATCCTGTGGCTGCTGGCAGCAGTGGTCCCAGGAGCTTGCTGGGTTGGCGCCCAGAGACTCCAGGATTATTGCTGCTGGCAGCCACAGCCACCAGTAGTTTGCTGTAAAGCCCTGACTTTCAGCAGCCAGGGCAGTCTTCCAAGGCACCCTGGCGGTTGGCAGTAATTTCAAAACGGAAAGAGTGTGTGTGTGTGTGCGCGCGTGTGTGTGTGTGTGTTGGGGGGCGGTGGGGGAAGGGGACTCAAAGAGAATTTGTTTCAGCAAAAATATTTTTATTTTCTTCTCATAATCAGTATACAATACTAAAGTTACAGAAGCAAATCCTGTGTAAAAGGTTGAAGGGGAAAAAGGTATGAAAGGCTATACTCACCCACATAAAGAGTTATATTATTTAATTAAGATAACTGTGAATTAGAATTATGAATGATTTTTACTTCCTTTTTTATATATTTTTACGATGAATATGTATTGCTTTTATCATCAGATAATATAAAGCTATTTTTCATTTAGGGGGAAAAAAAGAGGCTGTAAAAATATTAATAAAATATGAGCAGTCAACGGAAGTTTATGGATATTATCTTATCCAAAAGCAGAACTACAGAAACTCTATACTTGTGAGAAAACACTAGTTGAGAAAATGCTGAAGTTTTTTAAATACATTATTTTAAATTAGAAGTGATTTCCCAAAGGTCTTATTTAAACAATAATTATTACAATTTCTTCCAACTGTACTAGTTGTCTTTTAGTCAGTTCCAACTCATGGCAATTCCATGTGTGTCAGAGTAGAACTGTGCTCCATAGGGTTTTCAATGGCTCATTTTTTCTAAGCAGATCACCACGGCTTTCTTCCGAGGAGCCTCTGGGTGGATTCAAACCTCCAGCCTTTCAGTTAGCAGTCGCATGCGTTAACCATTTGCACTACCCAGAGACACAGAAGAGTCGTGTTGCTAATCTTGTCATATTGTTAATGCTCAGTGAGTTTTTAGCCACACGGTATGACTGTCACAATACAGTAGTTGTAAAAGAACACTACAAGTAATATCAATTATGCAAGTTTTTTTCTGGCAATATCTCATAAACTATAGCTACCTTAATACCCCAAGGAGGGCGTCCTTTCATGCTCAGCATCTTGGTTTACATATGCTTTTCAAAAGTTCTGATAATCTCCTAGTTGTCATGAAGGACACTACAGACCTCAAATTTAATATAAAAAATGCAATTTTCTTTAAAGACTACATATGTGTACTGGTTTTTCCACTAGGAAAACGTGCAGGTGTAATAGTAATGATGCCATAATGGAATAGCAGTGTTGAGGTGATGCATGCAAAGTGCTCAGCATAGTGCCCGGCACAGGGATGCACTCGGTAACTGTGAGCTGCTGCTGCTGCTGCTGCTGCTGCTGCTGCAGCTACAAACCCTGCAGGTCCATACGATTATCCAAACCCCGGGAGCAAAATGAGCTTCAGAATTCAGACTCTTGCAGAGCTTACAAAAGTAATATATTTTATTTAAACCCTCTCAGAAGTCTGGGGCAGCACCCCATATTCAAATACATCAATAGTTCCATAGCAAAATTTTTTAATATGCAAGCTAAGTAGGATTTAAAAAAAAAAAAGACTCACATCAGTTTAGACCAGGCTTTGCCAGCAAATTAAACATTAAAAAACTTACTGTTTTCAGAACTTTTTGGGATCCCAGGACTGCACACGTGGGGTCAGGAACCTGCACTGCTTACTGCCAGTATTTCTATCTGCATTACCCCTTAGAGTTTCTCACATGCACAGCTTTACTTTTTCCTACATTAAGGGTATTATGCATTCAGATTGTTTTAGAAAGGCAAATGTTCATTCATTTAAATTTGAAAGAACAGCTCAATGATTTTAAGCAATCTAGCTCAATGCTCAGGAATAATAAATACTAAATTCAGTGGTTCTTTTCTGATGGAGAAAGAGAGAGATGCAATCAGGAAAGGATACACAGGTATACTTCAACTATACTGGTGATGTTTTATTTTTTAAGCTGAGTGACAGCTATCTAGGTATTTGGTGTATTAATTAATATATGCAAAAATATATAAAGAATATTTCATAATACCCTTTTTTAAAAAAGCTAAACTACATATTTAGTGAACACTTTCAACACAAGTACAAGAATTTTTGATCTAACAGGGACTTGGCTTGGCTCACTTCATGGCATTCTGCATCTTATCAGCAACCAGTCAGAAACCCTCAAGAGGATCTTCTCTAAACACCAGCAGCAATTAAGAAACCAGATTCCCTTGTCTCAGGAAGAACTTTTAACCGGAATATATAATCTGTACTTAGCCTGTGTGACATTTACTATCATGTGATTGTAACTTTACACTGGCAAGCCCGAAACAGACTGACCACAAACAAGCTCTTCTTGGCCAAACAACTGGGGTCCATTCACTATAGTGGCTGCTGCAGACAAAGCTGACTCTATTCTAACCACCTCAGAGATCACCAAGGAATGTGATTCGGGAGACAGAGAATATGGAGAGATGTGTTTCAGCTGAAAAACATCTAAGGCTTTTGAGGGAAATATTTCATCAGCATTATCTGCCACCTCAGAGATCACCAAGGAATGTGATTCGGGAGACAGAGAATATGGAGAGATGTTTTTCAGCAGAAAAACATCTAAGGCTTTTGAGGGAAATATTTCATCAGCATTATCTGCTCCTATGGAATTCCAATTTTTTTCCCTTTAAAGAATCTTGATAGCATTTTATATTTTTCCAGGGTAGAGGTCTTTATAGCATCTTTTCCAAGAGTTTTCACATGCAGTATCTCATTAAATTTTCAAAACCACCTTAAGAAGTAGATGAGTAAATTTATCCCTATTATAAAGAGGAGAAGAAACTTAATAGTGGTGAAATAACTGACCCGGTATCACAAATACAAACAGAGGTAGAAGTTGGACCAGAACTTGGATCCTTTACTTTTCCTTGGTGGAGTAACAAATGTCTTACTATACCATACTCTGAACAGGTTTGCCCTCATGGTGCAGTAGTTAAAGAGCTTGGCTGCCAACCAAAAGGTCAGCAGTTTGAATCCACCAGCCGCTCCTTGGAAACCCTATGGGGCGGTTCTACTCTGTCCTATAGGATTGCTATGAATCGGTTTTGATTTAACTGAATAGAGGATATTAAACCTGTTTCCAAAGGATATAGGGTTGCTATGAGTAGGAATCGACTTGATGGCAACAGGTTTTTTGGAAACAGGTTTAATATCCTCTATTCAGTTAAATCAAAACCGATTCACAGCACCCCTATAGGACATTTTGCTTGACAACCAAGCTCTTAACCACTGCGCCACTAGGGCTCCCTATCCAGTTAAGGATGAAGTAAAAGGAACCGCTTATCCCTGTTTCCAAAGGGAAAAAATATAAGACCCCAAGTCAGCAGTTGAGCACTTTCATCATAAAACATTTTAGAGGATGTGTCTTCTATGAAATAACATATGTACAAAATGATTCAAAATCTCTCCTATCCATTTCGTTCATTTCAACCTCCCTACATAGCCTAAAATGTAGTATAATGTCCTAAGCTGTCTAAGGAACAGAGAAAAAGCCATGTCATTCATTTTTAGCCCAATTGAGAATTAACTGGGTTTTAACAGGAGATTACACTCAACTTCCATCAAGAACAAATAGTCAATAGTGCCTTCTGCCCATCAACTTAATCAAAAGACAATCTCATTCTCACAGGAATATGCCAGTCTTATTTACATATAAAACAGACAAGACATAAGTAACACACTGTAACCACATTATCTTCATTTTTCCTAAGTATATATAGTTTTCCAGGGGTTCCATTTAGTATTTTCAGAATTTCATGTCTAGAATACTGAATGAAGTTGAGAAAAAAGAAAGTAATTAACAGGACATCTGTGAAAGCAGAACAGCTAGACAGCACAGCTAACGCAATGGAGGGAACAAACATCTGCCTGACTATTGCGTGCAAGGAGTTGTGCTCTGACATGTCACCTCATGTAACCTTCACAACAATCAGAGGTGCTATTATTATCTTCACTGTAGAGGAAATGATCTTCAGAGATAAACATTAAAAAAAAAAAAGATCAGAGTAACAAACCTCGAAGTGTAAGCAGAATGGAAATTAAAATAGCCAGAGATCCAAAGGGTAAAACCCTATATATCAAGGTCTTTTAGAAAGACAGCATACCTGTAACCGCTGAAACACTCCTGATCGTAAGTTGCCAAATCCATAGTGGCACTGCGGATTCAAAGCACTTTCTGATACCTCCTCGTAGGGGGACTGTTCGATTTCCCAGTCAAATTCTTCATCATCATCTTCTACGCCTTCTTCAGAAATCTCTGAAGCACCTAAACATGTGCAATACTAATTTTTTTTAAAAAGTGCTAGATTTCCTAGCTACTACTCGAGAAAGAAGTAGTGTAGGAAAAAAAAGCCTGCACATGTGCACCAACAGTGGACAAGAATAGCACTACTGTTGGTAATAGCCCCAAAACAGCACCAACCCAAATGTCTACCAACAGCAGGATATAAATAAATGTGGTGTAGTCACATAATGGAATACTCTATAGCAATGAAAGCAAATGAACCTCAGCTACAATATGGATAAATCTCAGGGAAGAAAAACAAAAAAGAACACATACTGTAAAAATTATACACACAATTCAAAAACTGGCAAAGCTGAGGAAACTGATGGCTTTGAAGAGGAGGGAGAAGTAACTGGGAGGAGACACAGGGCAGGATTCCAGGGTGTTGGAAATGTTGCATTTCTTGATCTAGGTGGTAGGCACTTTACGTCACTCATTGAATGGTACACTTCTGATCTTAGCTCAAGAGGTTAATATTTTGCCAAAGACAGAGATGCTATTTCAATTGGTCAAAAAATGTGACTGATCTGCTGGTTCAATATGATTCTTTATGCTTTTAAATTATATATCACCAAATGAAATATTTTCAAGTGTCTACCACCTGATTTTGTCACCTTAAGAACCAATTTCCAATTCACTACATTCTTCTTCCCTACAAACACATAGCTTTCCAAATATTCCTTTTTATCTTTATTTCCTCCCAACTGCAACGAACATACCTATTTCTTCCACAAGTGGTTTCGCAGTCCTGGATTTTCTGGGTGCAAGGAGAGCAGTCAGCATGTTCAGCCCCTCAAAATGCTGACCGGGAGTTTCTTTTGGCAATCGAATGGTAAAAACTCCTTAAAGATAAATTTGTTTTATGCTCAGACAGATTAAAATATTCAAAGGCTTCACAAATATATCTAAGAAATATACATCTTGGTAAAACATAATTGTAATTCATAAAGCTCCAAAATTATGCCTTTATTATAGATTTAGTAAATAAGTATTAAGAGAGAAAAACGCTCAAACAGGGTTTTTCAGAAACACTGATCCAGCTATCACCTCTGTAAGAAATTAATCTGTTCAAGCTGCAGAATGATTTATGTTGTTATCACCATAACCAATTGGTAATTCTAAGAGTCCAAGTCAAAACTTCTAAAAATCAATGGCTAAGAAGATAATAGCTTAGAATTAACTAATAGCTACTTATAAAATATATTTCTGGACTCACAAAAAAAAAAAAATCGGGATACCTAACCCAATAGAGGGTTGGTGGCACAATGGTTAAGCGCTTGACTGCTAACCAAAAGGTAGGTGGTCTGAACACACCAGCCACTCCCGTAAAGATTACAACCTAGGAAACTCTATGGGACACTTCCACTTTGTCATATAGGGTCACTATGAGTTGGAATCAACTGGACAGCACACAGCAACTATATGACAATCCAATAGCGAATAACAGCCAATTTCAAAAACATACAAAATCTTGAGTAAAACAATTACGGCTTAATAAAATTTCTTTGGTTTATTTCAAGTGATATATTCCTAAACTCTGTCTAAGGCAGACTCAAAACAAATTCTATCTATGCTTGTCTTTTCTTTCCTTGACTGGGTTTATCAACCTCACCTAGGCTCCCCTATGAACTTACTATATTATCTACTACTCTTATATTTTAAAACATTCTCTCTCTCAGCATACTGAAGTGTATTCTACTATATCAAATACAACTCAACCCAAGTATTTCCACAGATACAATCTTCCTAACCCCTGTGTACTTTTAAAATTTAATAACTTTGTTTCAGTATTGCAACCTACCTGAATTAAAAGCATATTTAGTACCTAGCAAGATAGTTTCATTACACTTCATTATCACATTAATTACAGTGCACTATGGGTTAGAACTTTGTCATTTAACTCTTCCCACCCTCCCTCCTTTACCCTAGTTCACTGAGATCAATAAATTTTCACTGAATAAATTACACAAGGTATTCTTATTCCAGATCAAGTAGCAAAGGAAAATCCAGGGCTTCATAAAGGCTAGTCAAAATGAGGGGCTTATCAATCATAAGAAGAAAATTCAATCAGCCTTTAAGTGCCATCCATGGACAGACAGTTCCTCTCACCTACATGTTATGAAAATTTAAGTTTGAAATTATAAAAGAAAAATTCCTTTCAACAGCTTATAAATCAACCACAAATTTTATAATCAATTGCCTTACACATTCCAACTTTTACTTTTAAACATGTCCTGAACATAAGGGAAGTAGAAAATAAAACATCTGGGAAAACAGAACCAGAATGCTTAACTAACGCAACTCTGCTTTGAAGAATACTGTAAAATGTTTTAAAAGCCTGAGGAAATAACAATTGTCAAGAAATCCACGGGTAACAGACACTCAACATTAAAGAAACAGAAAAAAGTGACAGGGACAGACGGCACTTGCAGCACATCTAAAGCTCCCCATCGTCTCTTGAAATATTATTATACAGTTAATCTAACATGAAGAATTCAAAGAAAAAAACACAAAAAATTCCAAACACAATACCTTTATCTGCATCATAGGACCCTTGCTCACTTCCATTTTCTACAATTCTTCCAGGAAGGGTTAATCTGCAGATGTAAAGTAAGGTCTTATGAAGTCCTTAAATTACAAAGTAGCCTAAGTGATCATCAATGACAGTATACATTTACCCATGGGAATCTATCAATCATTTAAAGAAAATTCCTCAGCATTTCTTTCACACTTTACAAACTAAAGAACTTAGATTCCTTCCCCAGGTAAAGGAAATCAGAGATGACGCATCTTTCTCTTTGAATACTCCCGTGCTGTTGTCAGTTGACAGAGAATCAATTCCAACTTTTGGTGACTCCATGTGTTACAGAGTAGAACTGTTCCATAGGGTTTTCTTGGCTATAATCTTAATGGAAGCAGAACACCAGGCCTTTTCTTCTGCGGTACCACTGGGTGGGTGCAAACTGCCAACTTTTAGGCTAGCAGCCGGTTGCAAACCGTTTTCGCCACCTAGCAACCTTGAATACTCCCTAGTCTCCAATAAAACAGATGGTTAAAAAGAAAAGACACAACAGATGTTAGTTATCACTATTGTTACAGTACTTCTCCCCTTCCAAAGAACAAGAGGTTTATTTATATACCTGGCACCTAACACAGGAGATACTCAAACAAAAGTTTACTAATTGGCTTCAAAAATAAAAAAATACAATAAAAAGTCAAGAAATAGGAAACAAAGAAGAAATAAAATCAATTGCCTGTATCAGGCAAATTACTAGTTTAAAAAAAAAAAAAAAAACCCACAAATGAAAGTTTCATTTTTCTCACTTCTCATTATTACTAACATGGGATTTTTCCCTCTTTCATACAAAAGGAAATGAACTGATTTTCCTATTTTCAGTCTTCCATTGAGGCTCCGAAAAGCTTCTACGGCTGCCTGATGTTGACTAGATAATTTAAACTCATCAGCACGGCAGATTAGCTCCGCTCCCTTCCATTCTAAACTTCGAATTTTAGCCTGCTTTCCTCCCGTTCCTCTCCCCCTTGCTTTCTACTCCAACAATTCAAAAAATGGCATACCCAAAAGGCCCAGTGTTTCCCAACTTAACCACCTTTGATCCTAATAGTTCCTTGAGTGATAGTGTATGTTCCAAACTCAGATCTGTTTGGGAGCAATTAATGGATAAATGGATAAATTTATCTCATTACTCTTACTGCATAATAGTGGGATCATATTTGTTTACAGATGTGCCTCTCCTGCTAGACTATCAATTCCTCTAGGACAGGGACCAAGTTTTATCCATCTTCAGTATACTGTAGCAGAATGCATTTTGAAAGATGGCCCGTCTCACACACTCTTCTTACAACAGTGACTTTGGCATGGATCCCAAAGATGTGGTCTCTGTCCCCTCCCCAAAGATTTAGTGAGCTTCTGGGACTTTTGTGGCCAATACAATATATAACAGTACAAAGTCACATACAGTGACACTGTGATTTATAAGGGTGGGTCATAAAAGGTGATACGGGTCCCGCCTTGCTCGCTAGAATACACGCTCTTGAAATCCTCAGCCACCACGTTAGTGGTCCAACTCCCCTAAGGAAACACAAAGCAGACCATGCAAAGAGACCACATAGGGAGGCCCTGAGACTACACAAAGAGAGATGTCCCATCAGCCCCCAGCTGCTTCAGCCCTTGCTGTTCAGGGTCCAGCCCCCACTTGACAATAACTGCATTAAAGACCTCAAGCCAGAACAGCCCAGCCAAGCCCTCACCAAACTTCTGACTCAGACAACAGGACAGATAGTAAAATGACTGTTGTTGTTTTATGCCATTAAGTTTGGTTGGTTATGAAGCAAAAGATAACTAGAACAGTAGGCCCTCAATAAATAATAATACCTACCATTTAGTGAACACGTAGTTAATTACCAGGCATGGTAGAGAGCACTTTGTGAGCATTATCTCAATCCTCACATCAACGCCTTAAAATCATTAATATGAGTCCCACTTTACAGATTAAGAAATTGTGACTAAATAACTTGCCCAAAAGGAGCCCTGGTGGTGCAACAGTTAAGCACCTGGCTGCTAACCAGAGGTTGGTGGTTCGAACCCACCCAGCAGCTCTGAGGGAGAAAGACCTGGCTTTTTGTTTCCATAAAGATTTACAGCCTTGGAAACCCTATGGGACCAGTTCTACTCTGTGACATGGGGTCGCTACCCCCCAAAAAAAAAAAAAAAAGGGGACCAAAAAACCCACTGCAGTCAAGTTGATTCTGACTCACAGCAACCCTATAGGGCAGAGCAGAACCCCCCCACAGGGTTTCCAAGGAGTGGCTGGTGGATATAAACCGCCAACTTTTTGGTTAGTAGCCATAGCTTTTAACCACTGCACCACCAGGGCTCCAAGGGGTCGCTAGGAGTGGAAAATCAACTCAACAGCACCTAACAACAACAACAACTTGCCCCAAGTCACGAACTGCTAAGTGTGCTCAGATCCAGGTGTGCCCACCTCCAAGCCTCTGCTATCCAAGGGATGACTAAATCTGTGTAAAGAATGCTCTTTCAATTGTTTCACATGTATCTTTGTCTTCATCAAAACTCACAGATTTAAGCAACGTGGTTTTTATTTTTAAATTTTTATCTAATTTTACAATCTCATTTCATTTTACAATTCTATTTTACAGTGAGAAAGAATCCAGTCTATATGATACCAAGGACTATGTTTAAGAACTTCTCTTTAAGTCTCTGGTCCCTCATCTGTAGCACAAATAATAGAACCTACTTTGTACGGCTGTCCTCAAATCAAACATGATAATCCACATAAAACACTAGCCTAGAGTAAAATTTCAATAAATGTTTGCTACCACTATCATCACCTTCCTCTCCTTCTTCATGTCTTGGCTTAAATATCACCTTTTCAGAAAAAGGTGATCACTTTAAAAAAATATCAAAATGTTCTGTGGAGTCGATTTTGACTCATAGCGACGCTACAGGACAGAGTAGAACTGCCCCATAGGGTTTCCAAAGCTGTAATCTTTATCCCATGGAGTGGTTACAAAAACACAGGTCCCTTTTATTCTCTATCAGTACACTCTCTTCTTTCCCTTGATAGTATTTACCACAATTTGTTTTTATGCTTGTTTTTCTCTCGCCATTAGAATGTAAATCACATGAGGGGGGACTGTGTCTTGTTCACCACTATATTCGCAATACCAAGAACAGCCTGTCATATACTATGTGCCCAATAAATAAATTGAACGAATGAATAAAGAAACAGGAAAGTGTGGTTTATTCAAGTAGGCTGATTAAAGTTAGGGTCTAATGGAAAGCTGAATAAAACGTGTTCAGGCCCAGTAAAGGAACCAGCTTGACTGGAGGGGAAAGTCCGTATTACACAATTATTTGGGGAGGAAAGGTAAGCTGAAGCTACACGTGAATGAGAAAGCTTAGGAGAATGGATTTTACCTAATCAGAACGGGAAGAACAAGAAATTGACAATGTGTTAGGAAGAATAATCTGGCAATGTTCTCCGTTAATGGCGCTAGCAGTAGTACCGATCTCCAAGGATTATTACCATCCAAGTTAAACGAGGTCACGCACACAGAGCACTTAGCGCATTCCCGCCCACCACACTGAAGGTGATCAACGTTAGCTATCACTACTCTTATTGTTACGGTTCTGCAAGGAGAAAAATGTAAACAGAACGTGGACTGAGAAAAAGTCAAACAGGCCGAGGTCACTGGAGGACCAACGCGCAGAGAAGGGAAGATAAAGGAACAAGTCAGAGAGAGACGAGAACCGGGGTGACAGGTCCGAAGCTGGAAAGGAGGCGTGGTCCCAAAATGCCATGTGTTAAAGTGGATTCGAAATCTCTTTAACGTGGGAATTTAAGAAGGGAAAGAGATAATGCAGCATCTACAACGACGCACGCCTTAAAGAAGTCACTTCCTCAGCACCGAATGCAGCTGCAGAAATCCCGGAATAATCGAGAACTGCGTCCCACCGCTCCCTCACTTTTCCATCCTCCCTCAATAAGCAATTTTCCAATGAGTGAATGAATGAATCCCCAAAATTCGCTATTCCTACGGCCAGACACCCAGAACTCACCTGAGAAAGTACGGCTTGGCGTAGAACTTGAAGTCGACCCCCTCGAAGTACACGTCAAACTCGGAGACCCGAGCATAGGGCACGCGGATGGCGATAGTCAGGAAGTCGGGGTCCTGGCTAAGGTCGAATGCGGGGGTCAGCATCACCGCGCCCGATGCAGGTGCGGGTGGCTACAACGTTCCCGCCACTCAGTATCTAAAAGAACCCTATACACGCCGGAGTCAATCCTGTTATTCAAGGCGCTTCCGGCTCGAAGCGGAAGTGCTTGCGCGTAAGGCAGGAAGTCCCACCTCACGCCTATCTCCATGGAGACGGGACGCTATTAAGGAAAAGGTGGTGCTTTCAGAACAGCCCGGAAGATAAAGGGGGTGGCCAGTGGGGCTTGGGTGCAGTAGTTGAACAGAGGGTAAACTTTGTGGAAGAGATAGAACCAGGGTCCTCTTTAGAGAAATTTTAACAGCATTGGCTTTGCAGGTATAGAGACCTGCGTTTGAGTCCCTTTTCCGCCACTTCCCAGCTGTAAGACCTTAGGAAAGTTACGTAACCTCTCTATACTTCAGCTATCTCTTCTATAAAATGAGGATAATACTAGAACCTAGCCCAATAGATACTGTAAGTACAGTATGAAACAGTGCATGTAAAACTTTAACAACGTACCAGGCAAGCTGTGAACGTTCTGTGAGTCGGAGCAGCCACGGCAGCCACCGCAGCAACATCGTTACTGTGGTTTTCCTTAGTTCTCGCCTGCCTTGTCAACAGTTCTCCTTAGTTCTCTCTTCCCTTTCTTTTTTTTATTTCCATTACTCTCTGTCTTTATCTGTCACTTTATCTGCTCTTCTTAATCCCTTATTTAAATGGTTTTCTCGTTTACAAAGAGTTCATCCCACTAATTTAGTCTGCACAAGAAGCTGCAGGAAAAACAGGACTCAGAGAAGTTAGCAATCTATGCCATGTGCGTTTTACAATGATCAGAACCCAGAGCTTTTGACTCTTAAACCACATTCGTACCTGCATCGATGAATTGTGGTCCTCTGTACTCTTCACCCCTTCCCTTCTTTTCGTCTTATATTTGCCTGAGGCCCTCTTTTCTGTTTCTATTTTCCTTACTTCTCTTGCCTGCGTTTTCTCTGCGGTTCTTCTACTCGTCCAACTCCTCTTCCACTCGTCTCCTTAGGTCTCTTTAGCGTTCTTCTTCCCCTACATATTCCTTTTCGCTACGTCTTCCTTTCCCCCTTCTCTCTCTCTCTAATTTCTTGTTATTCTCCTAGTGGAGACCTAGTGGTGCAGTGTGCTCGGATGCTAACCGAAGGGTGGAAAGTTCAAACCCATCTCGCGGCTTTGGAGAAAAGACCTGGCAGTCTGCACCTGAAGATTACAGGCTAGGAAACCCTTATGGGGGCAGTTCTACTCTGTCACATGGGGTCGCTATCAGTTGAAATTTATTCCATCGCACTGACCAACAACAACATTCCCCCCAATAAGTAAGTAGAATATTCCAGTTATTGTGTTTATTTCCTGGTTTTAAATATCAGTGAAAAGGGAGTGAAAACCATCTCCTAGCGCAGTGAATCAGATAACCTTAAAAGCCTTTTAAACTTTCAATTTTTTACGATTCTGAGGAAACAATCTTGAAATTAACTAGGATGCAGAAAAAATATTAAGGGGAACAAACATTAGTTGAATGCTTACTATGTGCCAGCACTAAACCAAACCCATTATAATGAACTCATTTGCCCCTCCTGACAGCTGTGAAGTAGGTATTAGCATATACCCTCATGGCTTGCATAGGATCACAAAGCTAATAATAGTGCAATGGGAACTGAAACTCTGAGCTAAGGTTCTAAACTACTACAGAGTTGACTCCCTTTAATATTATCCTATTTGTTTCACATTCTGAGGTATTCCAGCCCAAATCTGCCTGCTTTAAACCATATAGATGTTTGTAAATAATGGGCACCAATACTGACAATGAATTGATGCAAACCCGGAATTAGTAAGGCCCTCAAAGTGTCCCTTGAGATAGGCCTTTGACTAAATCATTCCAAATTAGCTTCTCTAGAATCTTTACATCTACCATGGGACCTCCTTCTGTAGGTCGCAAGCATTAAGATTTTTAAATTATTAATGCCAGAGAATTAACTAAGACTGGAACTATACTATCCACAATGAAGCTCTAAATGAAAGCATTTTACAAACGAGAGCTATACACTTCTTAGATATTTTATTATGTGATTGGAATAGACTACATGCTTCAGTGCTGCTATTATTTATAAGGAATATATATTGCATCTGCTGCATCACAAAATACTGATAGTTGCAACCATATAACAGGGTTGGTTATTTAAATTTTTTGCAACCAATACCCATTGCCATGGAGTCCATTCCAACTCACAGTGACCCTATAGGACAAAGCAGAATTGCCCCATAGGGTTTCCAAGCCTGTAATCTTTACAGAAGCTGACTGCCACATCTTTCTCCCATGGAGCAGCTGGTGGGTTCGAACCACCAAACTTTCAGTTAACAGCCGAGCCCTTAACCATTGGGCCACCAGGGCTCCTTGCAAACAAGAATTGTCTTTATTCTTGTATGTTTAATTACTGTTAAATTACATATTATAAATTCATTCTCCTTTTAAAAAATAGAATATTAAAGATAATGATAATTTCTTTTGACTGCCATCCCAACTTTGTTCTTCTCTTCTGCTTCCCCAGAAATAACCCCTTTCGGTCTTAAAAGCCTGTGAGCAGCCCTCTAAGATACTCCACTGGTCTCACCCCTTCAGGAGCAAGGGAGAATGAAGAAAGCAAGATACAAGGGTAAGATTAGTTCAGAGGACTAATGGACCACAGCTACCACGGCCTCCACCAGACTGAGTCCAGTACAATCAAATGGTGCCTGGCTACCACCACTGACTGCTCTGACAGGGATGACAACAGAGGGTCCTGGACAGAGCTGGAGAAAAATGTAGAACAAAATTCTAACTCACAAAAAAAGACCAGACTTACTGGCCAGACAGAGACTAGAGAAACCCCAAGAGAATGGCCCTCAGACACCGTTTTAGCTCAGTGATTAAGTCACTCCCGAGGTTCACCCTTCAGCCAAAGATTAGACAGCCCCATAAAACAAAACGAGACTAATGGGGCACAGCAGCCCAGGGACAAGGACTAGAAGGCAGGAGGGGACAGAAAAACTGGTAATAGGGAACCCAAGGTTGAGAAGGGACAATATTGATATGTTGTGGAGTTGTTAACCAATGTCATAAAACAGTATGTGTACTGCTTAATGAGAAACTATTTGTTCTGTAAACCTTCATCTAAAGTACAATAAAAAAAAATTAAAAAAAAAAAGAACTTAGAAAGTTTGGGGAGGCAGATTTTAAACACAAAACAAGACCCAAAACACACTAAAAGGAATTTCCCCAACTTTTCTGGAATTATAATATCCTGTTGATTTCTGGGGGGAAAAATCTGGATAATATTTAATTTTTTTAATTAAGATGAATTAAAATTGTTTTTTAAAAAAAACCCTTTTACTATCTTTGCAGGCCTCTTCATGATTCTGCATACATTTCAATATACCCTGTTACTTTTTGGTTTCACATGCATGGTTGCATTATCCTATTATCACACTATAATGTAATTTTGCAGTGTGCCAATAGTTTGTCGATTTTGTTGCTTTTTTGACTTTGGTATGTTTTTTGAGACATAGCTATACAGATTCATAGATCCAACTGAGTTCATGTTTCTGGATACAGACATGACTTTAGAATAAAAATATTATTTCAACATTTCATGATAACCCTGTTTGGACAGAAAACAGAATGAAACTTTCACAAAATTTTTCATCTTTGATTGAGTCATTCAAAGGTTGCAGTAACTATTTTTTGTTTTTCCATTTCCTTAAGGCTTACTTTTGAATGGCCTTTCAGTGTTTTAGAAATAGTTTTTTCTGTCACCAACTTATTGATGACAAGTATATCAAATTAGCCCCTCTTCTGGTCTGACAAACTTGACTGTGATCTTCAAGATTCAAAATTAAATGTTAAATTAAAAATCTAGTTTTTATAAACAACTCCAATTTCAGCCTTATTTCAGAGTTCCACTGTTAGAAAGGAGCCCTAGTGGAGCAGTGGTTATTAAGAGCTTGGCTGTTAACCAAAAGGTAGGCAGTTTGAATCCACCAGCCACTCCTTGGAAACCCTATGGGGCAATTCTAGTCTGTCCTATAGGGTCGATGGGTTTGGTTTTTTGGTATTGTTAAAAGTCTTAGTGGTGAAATACTCCTTGTTTCCAGAAGGTGGCATGCGTATAAACAATTAAGATGGTGTGATCTCAAAGGACAGTTTTAACCTATGTTGGAAATAACTTCCTGAATCAGTGATTTCTAACCTCGTTCATTCTCTGAACTGTTTTTGGGGGTGGTGGGATCTTGCATGGAGCTTAAAGACTACACCTTAAGCACTACTGTTATTATATTTTTGTACCTCCTTTCAGACTTTTATTTATTCATAAAAATATATTGTTGTTGTTGTTAGGTGCCGTCGAGTTGGTTCCAACTCAGAGCTACCCTACGTACCACAGAAAAAAACACTGCCTGGTCCTGCGCCATGCTCACAATCGTTATGCTTGAGCCCATTGTTGCAGCCACTGTATCAATCCATCTCATTGAGGGTCTTCCTCTTTTTTGCTAACCCTTTACTTTACCAAGTATGATGTCCTTCTCCAGGGACTGATCCCTCCTGACAACATGTCCAAAGTATGTAAGACATAGTCTCACCATCCTTGCTTCTAAGGAGCATTCTGGTTGTACATAAAAATATAGAAAGATTTTTTAAGCACAAATGGAATCATACTCTATATTTTCTTTATTTTCATTTAATGTAGCATTACCATATTTCCATCTGATTACATTATCGTAAATATTTTATCCAAAGTTGATACTTCTTTTTTATTCCTCATTAAAAAATTTATGCACATATTGTTTTGTGACATTAGTTGCAATCCCTTCAATATGACAGCACTTTCCCTTTTCCACCCTGGGATCCCCATGTCCATTAGTTCAGTTTTCCTGTCCCCTCCTGTCTTCTCATCTTCCTTTTGGGCAAGAGTTGCCCATTTGGTCTCATATAATTGATTTAACTAAGAAGCACGTTCCTTGTGTGTTACTGTTTGTTTTATAGGCCTGTCTAATCTTTGGCTGAAAAGTGGACTTTGGGAGTGGCTTCAGTTCTGAGTTAGCAGGGTGTCAGGGGGCTGTAGTTTCGGGGGTTCATCCAGTCTCTGTCAGACCAGTAAGTCTGGTCTTTTTTGTGTGTGTATTTGAATGTTGTTCT